CCCTTTGCTTCCTGGGCAGGTGGGCCAGCTTATGGGGGGGGGCCAGGCCCGTGGGGCTTGCCCCGGATGGATCGTGCACAAAGCAGGCGCCCAGGGCTCTCTGGAGGGCCGCTTGGGCAAAGGCCCTGCTGAGGCCAGAGAGTGATGAGGCCCTGGCCATCTTGAGGGGGCCAGTCGCAGGATCCCCCCCCCAGACCCCTGCGTTCGCGGGGCATCTTGCGCATGCACTTGCAGGGCAGGTCTCCGACAGAGAAACTCATGTTCGGCTCGACTGCATGGCTGTAGTGACGCATGGCCAAAAAGGTATTGAGGAGCAGATTCGCTCAAACAGTACAAATGCAGCCGTCCGCATGTTTGCTCGATCTTTGCCAGGCGCAGCAAATGCAGTTCTCACCAGACACGTCAAGGCCCACCGGTCGGACGAGGAGATCGACCTGTTAGCGGGCGATGAACTTCGTTTTGCTCAGGCTTGCAAGGCAGCTGATTCCCAAGCGATGATCGCGTTAGACATGCACCCTCGAGCTAATCCAGATTTCCTGGCAAAAGGTGAGCTAGCACAGGAAAGAGCAGCCAGTTTTGTATAATAGGCTGCAGCAGCGTTTCCCCGCTTCGAGAACGATAGGCGGTGGCCCAGGCTTCCGAGAGAAAAGCGCCCCCAGTATCGTGCGAGCTCCAGTTTTCATGATTGGAAGGGGTCCTCTCGTGGGTTTCAGCGCAGGCAGCGTCTGATGATTGCCCCTCCTGGGGGACCTCCCGCTGTGGATGGCTGCAAGGGCACCCCAACGTTCCTGCAGAAGCTCCCCAGGGATTCCAAAAGACATGAGGCCCTCGCTGCCCAGGGGTCAGTCGGCGGTGGGGGCGACCACATCCCAGAGATCCCTGCACGGAGGAATGCGCGGCAGTTTCTGTGTCCAGTGCGGTGGATGGCCCCGGGGACGTGGATGCAATCTTGGGCGCGCGTGCCTCCCCCCACTTAGACAAGGCGTTGGAGTTTTGCAAAGTTTCCGGAGAGGAATGGGCCCGGACCGCCGCCTAAGGGCGGCAATGGATCGAGTCCTTCCATTCCCCCGGGTTGATCTCACCTCCACCTCGAGGCGGCGCGCGCGAGCTGTCACCCTTGTCCGCCAGGCGGGGCCCCCCTCCGCGCAGCAGGCGCCTGCCGCCCCATTGGAGGTGCCCGGCTACGAGGTCAGGCTGCAGGCGCTGATGCAGCTCATCCAGGCCGAGGAGGCCAGTCATGGAGCGACCCTGCCCATGCCCTAATCTTTTCGTTTGTTTGAATGTGGCCCTGTGACCTGCCTTCGGATTCTCATTTATTTATTCCTCCTCCTCCTCCTCCTTCTCTCGTTCCCTCCCCTCCTGCTCCTCCTCCTCCACCTCCTCCACCTCCTCCCCCTCCTCCCCTCGTTCGTCCTCTTCCCCCTCCCGCCTTCTCCTCCTCCCTCCTCCTCACCACTTCCTCCTCCTCGTCCTCCTCCTCCTCCCCCTCCGCATCCTTCTCCTCCTCCGCAGCCTCCTTATCCTCCTTCTCCTCCTCTCGTTATCCTCCTCCTCCTCCTCCTCCTCATCGGCACCCTCATCATCATCATCATCATCGTCGTCATCAGCATGATCATCAGCAGCACCATCATCAACATCATCGTGCTCAACATCATCAGCATCATCCGCATCGACATCATCTCGCCTCTTCCCCTCCTCCTCCTTCTCCTCCACCCCTCATCATCAGCAGCGTCATCATCATCAGCATCACCATCATCATCATCATCATCATCATCAGCATCATCATCATCACCATATCGCCCATTATATTCCTCCTCCGCCTCCTCCGCCTCCTCCTCCCCCCTTCTCCTCCTCCTCCTCCTCCTCCTCCTCCTCCTCCTCCTCCTCCTCCTCATCCTCCACCCCCTCCTCCCTCTCCTCCTCTTCCCCCTACTCCTCCCCCTCCTCCTCCTCCTCCTCTCCTCCTCCTCCTCTTCCTCCTCCTCCTCCTCCTCCTCCTCCTTCTCCTTCTCATTCTCCTCCACCTCCCTCCCTCCTTCCTCCTCATCTTCGTTCTCCTCCTCCTCCTCGTCCGCCTCCTCCTCCCCTCCTCCTCCTCCCTCCTCTTCCGCCTCCCTCTTCCTCCCCTCCTCCTCCTCCTCCCTCTTTCCTCCTCCTCCTCCACAATTACTCAATATGAAAATACCCTCCCTCTTCCCCTGATGGCGGTTGGGTGATCGCCGACCCCCCCCCCTCGCGTACTGTTTTTTACACGCAGGATTCCCGGGAAACGGGTTTTCGCCTGCGTTCTTGTTCCAAAATGCTGCTCTCGCTGAGGCGTCGGCCTCATTTCTGTTCCCGAATCGTTCCGAATCGTGCTCCCGCTGCAGCGTGGGCCTCATTTTCGTATCGATGTTTGGCCTCCGTCGTTCAGGATGGCGTTCTCGCCCCAGCGCGGGCCTCTTTCTCGCGCGCCCATCCGCCCGCCACAACTGCGCCGCACCACCACCACCACCACCACCACCACCACCACCACCACCACCACCACCACCACCACCACCACCACCACCACCACCACCACCACCACCACCACCACCACCACCACCACCACCACCACCACCACCACCACCACCACCACCACCACCACCAACCACCAACAACCACAACCACAACCACGCACACACGCACGCACGCACGCACGCGCACCACCACCCACTACGCACGCGCGCGCGGAGCCACAGGTCCGCTACGCACGCGTCCGCTACGACACGCGTCCGCGGATAGAGAAAATCAGCGCCATGGTAAGGGATGGGAGGGAGGGGTAGGACGCCAGATATGACGCGAGCGCACCTAGCTTGTCTTCCTCCTCCTACGCCTCTTCCTCTTCCTCATCCTCCTCCTCCTTCTCTTTCTCCTCTCCTTTTTCTCCGCCTCCTCCTCCCTTCCTCGTCCTCATCTTCATCCTCCTCCTCCTCCTCCTCCTCCGCCTCCGCGTCCTCCTCCTCCTCCGCCTCCTCCTCCTCCTCCTCCTCCTCCTCCTCCTTCTCCCCTCGTTCCCCATCCTCCTCCTCCCTTCTCCTCCTCCCCCTCCTCCTCCTCCGCCTCCTACTCCTCCCCCTCCTCCTCTTCCACCTCCTCCCCCTACCTTCGAGAGCGAAGGCAGCCTCTTTGGGGCGGCCTTCGCAGCCTTGGCTGGGCCCTAGGCCTCCTATACGCGGGGTCCGAGTGGATGGAGTCGGAGGATCGCGCCGCGTCGTCGATGCATCGGCGACGCACCTCAATGCGGATCCCGATTTCCTCCACGCTGGCGTCGCCGATGCGTCGCCGATGTCGCCGATGCATCGGCGATGCATCGCCGATGTATCGCGATACGGCGCGATCCTCGGTCCTCGGACCCCATTTATTCCGACCCCATCTGGGGGGCCCCTATGGACGCAGCTCTGGTGTCCCCGGTTTCCCAGGGGAGGGGGGGGGGGGGGGCGGCCAGCTGGACGGCCGCACGGGGCCTACGGGGGGGAGGCGGGGGAGGCTCCACGGACGCTGGCGGGCCCGCCCAGGCGTCGCCTCGGCTTCGGCGTCTGGAGGTGGATCATCCGCCCGCCGAGGGCGGAGTACACCGTCGACGACCTCGGGCCCGAGGTCGGGCGGCGCCGGCAGCGCATGGAAGCACACCGATGCTCGGGAGAGGCCTGTCCTGGGTCCGTCGTCGGCGGGCGCGGGCCCCGGCGTTGGCCAGGAGGGCGCACTGTCGGGCGGAGGTGCGAGATCGAGGTCGGTGCGGGGAGGCGACCCTGGCGCTCTTCGTGCGTGTCGGATGTGTTTTGCGCGTCCTGGTCGGGGGCGGCAAAGAGGGGGGTGATGATTAGGGGGGTGGGTATCATGGCGGTGGCCACGATATTTTCCCAGATTTCATGGCGCCTCTTTTTATTTCAATGCATTCCCTGGCCCCCCCCCCCCCCCCCTGGGCCGCGCACGTGCCGCCCGCCATGATTTGCACCCCCCCTCTTGGATACCCCCCTCTTGGCTGCCCCCGACAAGATCGAGGTCGGTGCGGGGAGGCGACCCTGGTGCTCTTCGTGTTTGTTTGGGTGTGCGCTGCGCGTCCTGGGGAGGGTGCCCCTGGATGTTTTGTGCGGTTTGGCCGGCGGGGGATCTCTTGTTCTTGGGAGGATGTTCTTTTGGCCTGTCCGACCGTGTGCACCAAGCCTCGGCCTGGGATGGGCCTCGCTGGGATCGCGGCGGTGCGTCGTTGGCGCCCCCCATGCAAAGGCGTTCAGCATCCCCGACGCGGAGGGCAAGTTTTGCCGCGAGGACGTGCAGCTTCAGAGCTCGCGCGGGGAGAGGCTCGAGTGCAGCCACTTCCGGGCCCTGCCCGCGCGTACTGGCGCCCCTGCGCCGTGCGTGGTCTACCTGCACGGCAACTGCTCCTCGCGTCTGGAGGCCCTCGACGTGCTCGACGAGCTCCTGCCGCGGGGCTTCTCTGTGTTCTCATTCGATTTCGCCGGCTCTGGGCATTCGGAGGGCGAGTACGTGACCCTGGGGCACAACGAGGAACAGGACTTGAAGGTGGTCCTGGACCACCTGAGAAAGTCTGAGGGCGTTGGGCCCATCGCGCTGTGGGGCAGGTCGATGGGTGCCGCCACAGCAATCCTGCGAGCCGCCGAAGATCGCGAGCTCTCAGCGTGCGTCCTGGACTCCCCTTTCTGTAGCTTGCCCGACGTGGCGCGGGAGTTGGCACAGAGCAGGAAGCTGAAGGTGCCCGAGATGATGGTCGGCGCGATCCTGAGGCGCGCCCGCAGCGATATCAAGGCGAGGGCCCACGTCGACATAGAGGACCTGAAGCCCATCGAGTTTGCGCCAAGGGCCACGGTCCCGGCGCTCTTCGCGGTGGCAAAGGATGGCGGCGAGCCCCGGGGAAGCGCGAGAGGGGCAGCCTTCTCAACGGGGCGGGGCTTTTCAGAGCGCTCGCGCCTGCTGAGCTGCTGTCTGCGTCTTCGGAGGAGGCTCAGAAAGCTCCTCAAAAGGCCAGAGGCCTCCTGATCTTCCTGAGAAGCCTCGTCCCCTCTGCCTTCCCCCCTTGGCCTCGCCGCCACTGAGGACGACGAGTTTGTGAGGTCTCATCACACCTATGCGCTCCACGACGCCTGGGGCGGCGAGGAGCGCAAGCTCGTGACGCTGGGCGGCGGCCACAACAGCTCCCGCCCGCGCGAGTTCCGAGCACACGCCGCGGCTTTCCTGCACGCGCAGCTCGGCAGGCCAGCGGCGGCCACTGCCCTGCCCGTGCCGCAGACCCCGCCGCTGCCGCCCGTGGCCTGCCAGCTCAGCGACGACTGCGCCTCCCTGCTCTCCACGCGGGCGCCGTCGCCGCGCGCGGAGTCGGAGCCCGACGGGTCCTCTCCGCCCGAGTCGCCGCGGTGGTCTCGGCTCGTCACGTGCGGCCGCACGCCCTCGGACCGCTCCGCGGGGCCGCCGCCGGCCGCCCGCCGGGCCGCCGCGGGCGGGGCCGCGCTCGGCGCCTGCCTGGGCGGCTGCCTCGCGGGAGTCCGGGCGGGGCTCGCGGGGGCGGCCCCCGCGGGCGCATAGCGCACGGGCGCACCGGCGCCACCCTGGCAATGGGGGGGGGTTGGGAGGAGGGGTGCTGGCCTTGGCCTGGGCTGGGGTTTCACGAGGCGTGGGCAAAGGCACACACGCACACACAGACACAGACACAGACGCACACACACACACACACACACACACGCGCACGCACGCACGCACGCACGCACGCACGCACGCACGCACGCACGCACGCACGCACACACGCACACACACGCACACGCACACAGGCACCGCGCGCAGCGACTGGGCGGAGAAGGTCCAGAAGCAAAAAGCGCGCCCCGCTCGCCGTGACTGGGCGGAGAAGGTCCAGAAACAGCAAACGCCTGCGGAAACTAGGGCGCACACACACACACACACACACACACGCACACACACACGCGCACACACGCACAGAGAAACACTCACACACACACACACTCACACACACACACACACACACACGCACACAGAGAAGCACACACACATACACGCGCACACACGCACACAGAGAAACACACGCACACACACACACACACACACACATACACGCGCACAACCTCCGGAAACAGCCCATGTCGCCCCAGACAGGCGGCACCGCCAGGACGGGGGTGGGGTTGGGGTTGGGGTGCTGCAACCGCCCACGACACCCAGGATAGTCGAGGCTGTGGGGCTTGCCAACGAGGTGGATGACGAGGACGAGGAGGAGAAGTAGGAGGAGGAAGCAGGAGGAGGAGGAGAAGGAGGAGGAACAGGAGGAGGAGGACGACGATGAGATGGAGATCAGCGGCGAGGCAGAGGGGGCCTGGCGGGGAAGGGGGGCTGGCTGCGCTTCAAGAAGGCAGCGGTGTTCGTGGGAGGGCGCTACCCCGTGAGGGGCCGGGCCACGCATACCGTGTAGAGCATGCGGGGAGGGGGGGCCTGCTAGAAGGCCGCCCTCGCCCTATCGCTGGGGCGATAGCCCACGGAGGCGTTGGCCGTCAAGTGCCAGTCGCTGTGGCTGTGCCGGCGTCAAGCGCGCCGGTTGTTGTGCCTCTGCTGCGCTGCACGTACTTTGTCCGCGCGTGCCGTACCTCATCAAGTCAGCTCTGTCTCCCTCCTCTATCTCTCTCACTCTCTCTCTCGGTCTCTCTCTCTCTCTCTCTCTATGTATCTCTGTGTCTGTGTGCACACACTCTTTCGTCTCCGTTATGCAACTTCTTCTCCTTCTCATCCTCCTCGTCGTTGTTATCGTCATCGTGCTTATCCGCCTCCCCATGCCTGTCTACTGACGCGTCTCAGTTCGAGTGACGAGTAAGTCGGGTGGCCTCCCCAGGACACAGCTGGGAGAATCCCGCAACGGACAGAGAATTCAAGCGTCCTGGCACGCTTTCTGTGCTGCGTCATCTTCGCGGCGGCCAGGAACGCTTGTTCGTCGTTGCTCGCGTGTGTGCGCTTTTGGACAGCAGTCGGATCTGGATAGCTGCTGAAGATCAGAAGAGCCCCAGCGTTGGATATGGATCCCACTGGGCCTTCCAGACTTTCCATGGTGTTGGTGACATTGGTGGCCGGGTGAGCGACGCATCCACAACCCAGCTCGCAGCTTGGGCCCCACCGCCAGCCCCAACGGCGAGCATAACATCGGGCGAAATCCGGCACACATTGTGACGGCCAACCCTTGTGGGCCCTGTTTGTGTATTTCTTCTCGACGTCAGCCTGCTCGTTCGGCGTCAGTATCGTCGTCTTCCTCTGATGGCCCTCCTCCACTCCGTTTACTGCTGTTTACCCTTCTTTCTTTCCCTCTCTCTCTCTCTCTTTCTCGTTCTCTCTCTGTCTCTCTCTCTCTCTCTCTCTTTCCTTCTCCAGCCTTCCTCGCCCCCCTCCCTTTCCTGCCTCCTCCTCCTCCTCCCCGAGCCCCCACCTTCATCAGAAGTCGGATTGCTGTCCTATCGCCATCTCCCTTCGTCCATCCCTCCCATCATCCTCTGGCTGTGTCCGCCACCCACCGCGTCGCCTTCCAGCCATGGGTTGCGCGATCCACTTGCCGCGCCACGGGGTGGGATGCGCCGTAGATTGTGCCACCTATGGGGTCGCAGTCCATGGGCTGCACCATGAAATTCGCCATGCACGGATTGCGCCCAACGTTGCTCCAAATGTGGGTTGCGTAGCATGTTGCGCCATAGGAGCCGTCATGAATTTGGTCATTCGTGGGTTGCTTCACAGGTTGCGCCATCGATGGGTGTTGCCAGAATGCGGGTGGACGATTAAGAGAACATTTAGGAGTGACGATTCTACAAACAGTTCCGCCGGCCCCGCGGCGGGGAGAGGGGCATTGTTTCATCGTCTTCCCTCATTAGGTTGCGCGATCAAGGGTTACGGCATTTCTTTCGCAATCGACAGCCGTAGATAATGCAGCCTAGTATTTGTTGCGCCGTAGGTTGCGCACTTGGCGGCTGAAGTAGCAGTGCCTTCTTTCATTTGCGCCATAGGCTGCGCAATGGGCGGCCGAAAATATGCCGGCATGTTGTTTTGGCTCGCCAGAGGTTTTGCAGTCGGTGGCGGGGAATAAAACGGCCAGGCAGCCGAGGCGACATCGGGTGTCCACCTGTTTGTTGAATAGATGCAAATGTAAACATTTATGCGGAGCCACGGATGTGGGAATACATATATATATATATATATATATATATACATCGTACAAACTATTTTTAATTAATACATACATTATATATACTGTGTATATATATATATATATATATATATCTGTGAGGGCCTCGGCCCCATGCTGCCGGCCCCCCTCTCTTAGAATGGGACTTGCCAGAGCTGTGTTGGGATGTCGGGACGCTGACGTGAAGCAATGTCGGGAGTTCACGCGAGGGCCAATATTAATTTTCGAGGGTTTATGGTTTCGGCTGCGCGAGTATTCAAACATGCACGATGATTTATGGCTTCGGGGACGCGAATATCGCATAAGTTACGAAGGTTTGTGGCCTCGGGGGCGCGAATCTGGCGCCATTTACGAAGGGTGCACGGTTTCGGGGACACAAGCATCGTATAATTCATGAAGGCTTATAAGCTCGGGGGCGCAAGTATTGTACACTTTGCGAGGGGGTTGTGCCCTCGGGGACGCAAGCACGGTGTAATTTGCAAGGGTGTCTGGTTTTGGGGGCGCGACGATTGTTTTGTTTATGGGTTATGGCTTCGGGGGCGCAACCATTCTGTAATTTACACGGGTTTATGGCTTCGGGGGCGCGAGTATTGTTTAATTCATAAGGATTAATGGTTTCGGGGACGCGAATATTGTGTAATTCACACGGATTATGGCTTCGGGGACGCAGATATTGCGTAATTTGCTAGGGTTGATGGTCTCGGGGGCGCGAATACGGTATAATTTGCGATGTTCTCGTGGACGCGAGTATCATGTATTCTGACGTTTCCCACGACCCCCCGGGAATCCAGACAACGCGATTCGGGGACGCTAACCAGGACACTTTTCGGCTCCCCCCCTCGCGCGTTCAGCAACCATTAACAGTAAGGAAGCAGACAGCAGGACTGTAACAGTGGAAACTGGAAGCTGCAACTGGCACAGGGAGCTGCAAGCCTAATCTTCGCAGCCTGATGGTTCCGCAAGGGGGCCGGCGGGTATACTTTTGGTTGCGCCATAAGTTGCGTTTTCGGCGGCCGAATCACGGACGGTTGTTGGATGCCCCATAGGTTGCGAATGTTGAGACCGGGAATTCAGGGTCTGCGATTGGATTCGCCATAAGGATACGCATTCGGTGGCCGAATATCAAAATGTGTGTTATTGATGGCACGATGCGGCTCACACCCAGCTGCCAAGGATGCAATTGCCAGCCAGCCAGATCAGTGAGACAGATCAGCAGGTCCGTCAGCCAGGCAGATCACCGCACGAACCTGAGATGCGGTAGGCGCCCGGACCAAGTGGCACGCGTGCCATGGTTCTTGCACAGAAGGTAGGGGCAAGGAGGAGGAGGTGAAGGAGGAGGACGGGGCAGGGATATAGGATGCGAGACATCGGACTAGGAAGGCCCAGCGAGGTCCGCAACATGAGCTTGACAGGGCGGACTCGATGAGGCTTCTAGGGCCCTCCCCCACGAGATGGCATCCAAAACTTCCAACATGCTCCCAGGAAGCCTCCAACAAACACCCAAAGCATCTACAGAGGATCCGCAGAACTCCCCAGGAGCCCGAACCGGAGGCGGAGGGGGCACGGGTCGGGCGGGGCTCCAATGGGCCGCCGGGGAACAAGGGGGGATGGGGGGCGGGGGCGGGGCGCGCCGCGCGATGCAGAATTACATGGTCGGGGCGGAGGGGAGCATTGGGCGGAGGTTCCACCGGGCCGCTGGGGAACGCAGGGGAAAGAAGGGATGGGAGACGGGGAGGGTGGGCGCGGTGCGACGCGGAATGAAATTGTCTGTGCGGAGGAGTCTTCGGGCGGTGATTCCACGGGGCCGCCGGGGAATGCTGGGGCGGGGGGGTGGGTGGCAGGGAAAGGGGGCGGGGTGCGGCGGTGCGGGGCGCGGAATGACATGGTCGGGGTGGAGGGGTGGGGGCATTGGGCGCAGGTTCCACTGGGCAGTTGGGGAACGCTGGGGCGAGGGGCGTGGGGGGGGGAAGCGGGGAATGGGGAAAACGGTGCGGTGGAACTCTGGGGAGGGGTGGGAGAGGGGGAGGGGCGGGGAAGGGTAGGGCGCGGTGCGACGTGGAACAAAATGGTCGGGGCGGAGGAGGCACTGGACGGAGGTTCCGCTGGGCCGCTGGGGAGCGCTGGGGGAAAGGGCGAGGGGGGCGGGGAAGGGGTGCGCGCGGTGGGACGCGGAGTGAACATGTCGGGGCGGCGGGGGGGACCGGTCCATTGGGCAGTTGGGGAACGTTGGGAAAGGGGGAAGGGGGCGGGAAGGGGGGGGCGCGGTGCGACGTGGAAGCAAGTTGTTGGAGCAGAGGGGCACTGGGCGAGCAGAGGCTCCACTCGGCCGCTGCGGAACGCCCTGGCGGGTTGGCATGGGGTG